AAATTGTTTTATTATAAGGCACTTTCCAAATTGTTATTTCCTTTTCTCTTAAGCATTTACTCAACAGAAAGAAAACTTTGCCTCACTAGTGCATTTCAGAAATGATAAATATTGTAAAAGGGAGACTTAGTTAATTTACTTTTGAATGAACTGTGATTGCCTTCTCTCCCCCTCCTCTCTTTTAATGTGAAACTCTGTGCCATCCTTTATAAATAGAAGTAAAAATTTCAATGACAATGAAGACAGCCGACATTTGATGGTTGAATCTTTGTAATTTAAGGGATGGAGGAAAGAAGACAATTAGGAAATTAAGACCTTCAGGGACGGAAAGAATTTTTGACATCTTTTGATTTTTTTACCTTTGTATTTTGAATCTAAGGAAATGGAGACTCAAAAAGCTGGAGGTGACGTATGAGTAAATGTGGTAAATGATTTAGTAAGCGTCGAATGTTGTAAAATTTACAAAAGAGGAGCTTACATATTTTCTGACAGTAGGTGGTAATATTCCAGAAGAGACTTTATTTTTAAACTACTAGGGAATGCTTGGGCAACTTGGACATTGGCTAACCAAAATGGGGGAGGTGGAGCTAGCACAAAGGTAAGAAGTGACTGTCTTACAAGCTTTCAAGAGGGAGCCTAGAGCCAGAGGGCACAGAGAAAGGTAGAATCTCCACTGAGTAGTATCCAATCTGTCTGGGTGGGACTGATGAAAGGAGATGTAGATAACAATCATGTGATACAATAGTGAATAATTACTATGAGGACTGACTGAGGGTTGGAAATGTAAAGGTAGACATTTTGTAGTAAAAGGAGGGGAGTGATTGGCTTTGCAGTCCAGTATCGGAGGGCCCTGGGACTATCAAGTGAGAAGAGCGGAGAGTGGGACCCTACCCAGAGAAGCAGTGATGCCTGAGATGGAGGCATCACTATGACAGCTTCTGGCCTGTGTTGTCAGTTTGTTTGACTCGTTGTACTTCATTTGTGCCAGTCCTGGCTAGTAACTGGTGGAGAAAACCTACATAATTCAGTTACAGAAACCAATAGCTGTGGAATCAATTCCAACTCGTGGTGACCTTCTATGTGTAGCTCACAGTAGAATTGTGTTCTATACTCAGGTTTTTAGTGACTGAATTTTGGAAAGTAGATTGCCAAGCCTTTCTTCCCAGGCACGTGTAGTGGACTTGAACCTCCATACTTTCAGTTAGCAGCCAAACACATTAACTGTCTGCACCATCCAGGGACGATTACCCTATAGTTAAAAAAAAAAACCCACCCCAAACCAAGCCTGTCACTGTTGAGCTGACCTGACTCATAGCGCCCACATAGAACTGCCCCACAGGGTTCCCCAAGAAAACCTGTTGTCCTAGAGGTTTTTGTGTGGGGCTACTAGCTGCAAGATCAGCAGTTTGAATCTTCCAACGGTTCCGCGGGAGAAAGATGGGGCTTTCTGCTTCTGTAAAGAGTTACAGTCTCAAAACCCCCATCCAGGGTCGTTATGAGTCAGAACTGGCTCAACAGCACACAGCAGCAGCAACATAGATTTTCCAAGGCTGTAAGATAAGCACTTGATTGCTAACTCCAGGGTTGCTATGAGTCAGAACCTACTCCATGACACTTAATAGTTTTTGCAACAATCTTTCCAAAAGCAGTCTCCTAGCTGATGGTTTGAACCAGTGACCTTTTCATTAGCGGCTGAGTGCTTAACCTCTTTGCCCCCAGATCTCCTTTCTTACTGTAGTTGTTGTTACTAAGTGCTGTGAAGTTGGTTCCAACTCATAGCAACCCTGTACAGGATTTCCGAGGAGTGGGTGGTGCGTTTGAACCAGTACCTTGCAGTTCAAACCAACCTTGAGGTCGAGTGTTTATCCTACGTTGCCACACCAGAGCTCCTTTCTGCAGTTAGTGCTGCTGTAAATCCGGGTCTCCAACCTTAATTGATCTCGTAAAGACAGCTGAATAGCCCTTTACTTCCTCCTAGTGAGTTACTTCTCTTGAAATCAAGTGTATTTCAGCCAGCCCCCCCTGCATCTGCAAGCTTCCATCTCTCTTCTTTATGTCAAGCAACCGTGCCTTCTGGTTTGCAGAGAAGATGCAAAATTCTATAAACTACTTGCCACCAAACATGCAAACTTCATCCTGCTGTTTTGCCAAGGCTCACTGGTCACCTTTGCTTGAGGATCCCAACTCTTCTATCCCCTTTGGTGTGGGGCAGGGGAGAGAGAGCTCACGCCATAGATTATTCCTGCTGTCTCCTGATCTCTATGTTTTCCCTTACTCTTTATCCCCCCAGCAGAACTGTAACGACCAACAAAATCTACAGTGTCTGCCTCTTTGTTCCCTGTGACTGATCTGTTACACAGATAGTGTAGTGTTTAATGGAGTGGAGGGAAGCTGTTTGGGTAAAATACTGAGAACACCACATGGAGTCCTGGTGTGGTGCTGTGGGTTAATGCGCTGGACTGCAAAGTTGGTTTGAACCCCAAGGTTGGCAGTTCAAGCTCACCAGCCATTCCTTGGAAACCCTATACAGAGTAGCAATGGGTAGGAACTGACTCGATGTCACTTAACAACAACAACAATGAGAAAAGAATCGATGGACCAGACCTAAAACCAGCCAATTTTCCCCTATCCAGACCCTTCTGGCTTGACTTTGGAATGAGAAGGGCACAAACCTCAAAGATCAAGGTTCAGTTGTTGTTGCCGTGATGTCAGTTCTGTGTGTTACAAAGTAGAATGGCTTCATAGAGTTTTCTGGATTGTAATTTTAATGGAAGCAGGTAGCCACACCTTTTTTTCCTACAGTATCACTGGGTGGGTTTGAATATCCAACCTTTAATTTGCAGTGGATAGCAAGCGATTTGCTCCACCTCGGGACCTTTTCAGATTGTGAGCCACACGCATTGTGGTTTCTCAGCTAGTCATAAGCTCCATTCCTATACGTTGAGATTTGTGTTCTGTATCAGGTTTTTTTGGAAAAAAAGAAATATAAAACTTAATTTGTTAATTGGTGTTTCCAAAGCATGTAATATAGAAAAGTAGGTGGGAGATGGAGCTAGGGAAATTTGAATTAAATGAAATATTTAATGTGTTTGATTGTTGATGTGCTTTGTGAATTTCCAAATGCAGATGACAGAATAGAGTTGGGTTCCAAAGTTTTTATCACATGTGGGAGTGCTGGCATGGCACTTTCTGTTAATGCACAGGACTACAAAGGCAGTTTGAACTGCAGGATCGGTAGTTCAAGCTCACCCAGCCGCTCCCTGGAAGCCCTATAAAGGGTTGCTATGGGTTGGAACCGACTCAGCGCCACTAAACAACAACAAGGGGCTTCAAAAAACTTATGGAAAAATGGAATGAAAAGATAATGGGATTTTCCCATGAAATTTTTGATGACCCTTTGTAAACCCTTTTCTATACTACTTCCCTACTCTTTTTGATCTAATGCATGTCATTGTATCCTGAGGAAAATAGTTTTGAGAAATTCTGAAGGACACAAAAGTGTGCTACATAAAAAAAAGATATGAGGGTGATTCAGAAGATTCGTTCAAAATGCCATTGAAATATAATGGATTTTTTCCACGAACTTTTTGAAGCCTAAGGCAATTGTTCAAATAGAACAAGGGGACACGTAATAGTTTAAAAACAGACAAGGTATGTGCCAGGTTGCAGTCTGTTTTTTAACCATACTTATTCAATCTGTATGCTGATCAAATTATGCAAGAAGCTGGATCATATGAATAAACACTTGGCATCAAGGTTGGAGGAAGGCTCATTAACAACTTGTGATATGCAGATCATACAACCTTGCTTACTGAAAGGGAAGCGGACTTAAAATGCTTACTGATGAAGATCAAAGACCACAGCCTTCCGTATGGGTTACACCTCAATATAAAGAAAATAAAAATCCTTATCACTGGAACAGTAAATGACATCATGATAAATGGAGAAAAGATTGGAATTGTCAAGGACTTTATTCTTCTTGTATCAACTATCAACACTCATGGAAGCCACCACAGTCAAGAAATTAAACGATGAATTGCATTACACAAATTTGCTGCGCAAGACCTCTTTAAAGTGTTGAAGAACAAAGATGTCAGTTGAGTACTAAGTGTGCTTGACCCAAGCCATGGTATTTACAGTAAACTTATGTGCATGTGAAAGTTGGACAATGGCTAAGGAAGACTGTAGAAGAATTGATGCATTTGAGTTGTTAACGTGTTGGAGAAGAATATTAAAGGTTCTATAGACTACCAGGAAGTACAACCACAATGCTTCTTAGAAGTCAAGATAGCCAGACTTAGTCTTTCATACTTTAGACATTTTATCAGGAGAGACCAATCTAGGGAGAAGGACGTTATACTTGGTAAAGTGGAGGAACAGCAGAAAAGAGGGAGAGCTCCAATGAGATGATTTGGCACAGTGGCAGCAGTAATGGGCTCAGGTGTAGCAGCAAGTAGAAGGCTGGAGCAAGACCAGGCGGTGTTTCATTCTCTTATACGTAGGTTCACTGTGGGCTGGAACTGACTCAACAGCACCTAAGAACAACAACACTAAAGATAAAGGAGTCCTGATAGGATAAGCACTGGACTGCCAACTGCAGTGTCAGTGGTTCAAACCCACCAGGTGTTCCTTGGAAAACCCTGCACAGGGTCCTATGCATCAGAACCAGCTGACGGCACTAAACAACAACAATAAAGATAAAACAGGTGACATGGTGCTCAGTGAAATGAAGATTAAGGATCTTTTTATTCCGTGTTAATGTGCTTTTCTGAGCCTACACATTTTGAAGATGGAAAATGCTTTTTTTAAAAAAATGAAACTCATTTAGACTAATACTTTGGGGAAAATAAACTATTTTGTTAAGAAAGCATAGAAGAGTGCTAGTGTGGTCAATACGTTTTGTAGTACTGGATGGTTATCACGTTATGTTATTTCAAGGTTTTATTAGTATTGACCTGATTTTCTGTTATTGAATTGTGTTTTCTTATCTTCTCTTCCAGCGGCAGCCGGTTAGGAGGCCTGGTTACAGTGCTATGCTTCTTCTTCAATCATGGAGAGGTAGGTACTCAAAAAAAGTTCTTTGAAATATTTAGGAAATTTTGCTTCTAAAAATGCAGGCTTTTTGTTTGGATAGTCAAAAATTATTTTTTTTAACATTTAGGGAGTTTTATACATAAAAATAAAGATTTCTTTAAATTTAGTTTCAATTTTATCCTTAAAATTTTAAGTGTTTTAATTTTATTTTGAATCAAGGTTGAAGTACTAGCATTTAAGAGACCTTTTCTTGCTCATTTGATTTTTTTATTGATATAACTCAGTGATTTGAAGAAATAGAGTGTTATACGAATTCTTGAGCATAGTGGATGCTAATCACAAGGTCAGGAGTTTGAATCTACCAGTGACTCCATAGGGAAGAGATGAGGCTTTCTGCTCCTGTAAAGATTTATAGACTCAGAAACCCTATGCAGGGTCTCTGTGAGTCAGAACTGACTCCACGGCACACCACCACCAATTCTTTATATAGTGTGTTTAAACTGTAACAGCTAACATTTTAGAGATAAACCAGCCATCACTATAGTTAACTTCCTTGTGTGGTGAGAACTTTTTGTTGTAGGAGCTACTCAGTTCTGCTACTCGGTATATTTTAATGTATTTATATTAATTATAAATTATATTATATGTGGGGCTGTAGGATAAGCCCATGACCGAAAAGGTCAGTTTGAACCACAAGGTCAGTGGAATAAACCCAACAGCCACTTCTTGGAAACCCTATACAGGGTCACTGTGAGTTGGAACTGGCTTGAGGACACTTAACAACAACAGCATTGTTAAACTTTAGAGAGTGCAGTGGCTCTGTAGGCTAAGCACTGAACTGTGAACTACAAAATTAGCTGTTTGAGCCCACCAGCTGCTCCTCAGGAGAAATATGATGCTTTCTGCTTCTGGAAAGATTTATAGCTTCAGAAACCCTATATAGGGTTGCTATGAGTTGGAATCAATTCAACGGCACTTAATAACAACATACTACATTTTGGTACTCTTTAAAATATCTCTTGCATAGTATTTTATGATGTCTACAAATTTTCAAATGTCCGAACAAGCTTCCATAAAGAAGAACAAGCTTCCATAAAGATGGTACTCTGGTACCATCTTTAAAACAACAGCAAAATCAATCATGTTCCCATTGAGTTGGTTCCAACTCATGACCACCCCATCTGTCAACAGATTAGCTCTGCTCCATAAGGGTGTCTTGGCTGTAATCTTACTGTCAACACATTGCCAGACCTCGTCTCCCCCAGTATTGCTGGGTGGGTTTGAACTGCCAGACAAGTTAGACGACTAGCCTGTGCCCGTCTAGGTTCATTCAGATTCTGGCTCTACCAATTAGTGCCTGGCACTGGGCAAGTTTTGTTTTTATCTTTGCCCGGCTTCAGTGTCTGCTTTGTCAAAGGTCCTACAAATGTTATCCATCTCTGAACTAGTGCCGAGAGTCAATGAGTTCACGTGTGTGAAAGGGGCTGGAACAACATTTGCCACATACCGGAGCAAAACTGTTGATACACGTGCCAGTGTTAGCTTGTATTATTATTACTAATTAGCTTAGCTCTTTAAGGTGTCAACTAGTTCCTTCCACTCAATTAATCACTGTTGTAAATGAACTTCTGGTAGTATACTATACAGATTTCTTCCATTGTAAGCTTTGTATGATGGGGTTAAGAAAGATAGGCCAGCTTGCTTTGGGTGAAGTAACTCACTCCTTTTATGTGTTTACATGTTAAGAAGTGTCTGCTTACCAAGTCCTAAGTATAGTCATTCCAGAACTTCACTGCAGAGTCAAGGTTGATTTTTTTATTTTTTTTAAATCAGTGGCTTACCTAATGCATATTGAACTAGTATATACTCAGTATTTAGAACCAAAGAAATATGAAATAACAGTGGCCATATAATAAGAGCATATGGCAAATGGTTGCGATATGACCTCAGTTAATTGGTGTAGTTTGAGTTCTGAGCAGAAAGCAAAAAGAATTGCTTGGCTTCTTGTGCCTGTGGGTGTTAGTGCATTGTGACAGTGTGGACCGTAAAACATTTTGAAGTTCAGAGAATGACCACAAAGACATGGGGAGAAGCTACTTGATGCTGGAAGCAAGAAGCATTGAATGTTAAATAAGAGATGTTGGAGAGAAATGTGAAGCCAAGTTACAGTATAAAGCCTGTTACCTGCGGAACACAAAGGTCTTTGGTGGCACCCTCAGCGTATACTGTTGTGGTTCCGGGCCATTGAGTTGATTTCGACGCATAGCGCCGTCATGTGACAGAACGGCATCTTTGAGTTTTTGGGTCGCTATGAATCAGAACTGACTCCACGGCACATAACAACAACAACAAAAATCTTCACGGGAACAGATTACCAAGTCTTTTTCCACAGAGCTTCTGGTGGTGGTGGTGTGCCATGGAGTATGTTCTGACTTATAATGACCCTGCATAGGGCCTCCAAGGCTGTACATCTTTATGGGAGCAGAAAGTCTCATATTTCTCTTGCAGAACAACTGGTAGTTTTGAACTGCTGACCTTGAGGTTATCAGCTCGACTCATAGCCACTATGCTACCAGAGCTTCTAGGTGGGTGCTAATTGTCAGCCTGCTTTCAGTACATACTGCAAGTCAAACCCATTTCTGTCAAGTTGATTCCAACTCATAGCCACCGTGTGGGACAGAATCGAACTGCCCCATTGACTCTCCTAGGCTGTAATCTTTAGAGGGAGTGCTGCTGTGATGCTGTGGGTTAAAGCGCTGGAATGCAAAAATCAGTGTAAACTGCAAGATTGGCGGTTCAAGCTCACTAGCTATTCCTCGGAAAACCTACACAGGGTCACTGTGGGTTGGAACCGACTTGATGGCATTCAACAACAACAATCTTTAGAGAAGCAGACTGCCACAGCTTTTTCCCACAGAGTGTCTGGTGGGTTGGAGCTGCTGATCTTTTGGGTAACAGGTGAGTGCTTAACCACGGTGCCACCAGGACTGCTTTCAGTGTATACAACAAACCAAACCGATTTCAGTCAAGTTGACTCCAACTTACAGCCACCTGTGGGACAGAATAGAACTGTCCCATTGAGTTTCCAAGGTTGTGGTGTGGTAGGATAAGCACTGGACTGCTAACCACGAGGTCAGCGGTTCAAACCCACCAGCTGCTCCTTGGAAAGCCTATATAGAGTTGCTATGCGTTGGAGTAGACTTGACCGCACTTAACAACAATAACAGTCTTTAGGAAAGCAGACTGCCACAGCTTTTGCCCATGGAGTGACTAGTGGGTTTGAACTTAACATCTTTTGGTTAGTATCCAAGTGCTTAAGCACTGTACCACCAGGGCTCCTCTCAGTATATACGCCCATTGTTGTTGAGTTAATTCCAACTCATTGTGCCCCCTAGCATTTCTGTGGATGAAAGCTGTAGTCTTTAGGGACATTTTGGTGAGCAGCTGCATGCTTAATCACTCTGCCACCAGCTGCCACCAGGACGCCAACCTGAAGATGCACCTGAATAGTTTGAATTCCGTTCACAAAGACTTCCTACATGAGTATCAAAATTAAAAGACAATTATAAAATCAGTGATAATCCTTAGCAGGCTAATGAATTTTGGGGGTACCTTTTAGGTACTTTGTTGTTGTTGTTGTTAAATGCTGTCGAGTCGGTTATGACCCATAGTGACCCTGTATAGGGTTTCCAAGGAGTGACTGGTGAGCTTGAACCACTGACCTTGTAGTTCAAATGGCTTTGCAGTCTGGCGCATTAACCCACAGCGCCACACCAGGGCTCCTTTAGCTACTTAGTACAGTTAAATGTGCATAGACATCATCTTCTTCTTAAGAAAAGGTCAACGAAATCGAGTTAGAGAAGAGTGAGGCTTTTTTTTTACATGGACTTAGAAAATAATATATATTATGGTATAGTTAGGTTACCTGGTGTGGTACCTTAGGATAGGCACTCGACCTCAAGGTTGGTTTGAACCACAGGGTCAGTGGTTCAGACTCACCCTCCGCTCCTCACAAACCCTATATAGTACTGACTCGATAGCACTTCAAAACAACGTTATATACTTGATATATAAATGCAAGGTCTGTTGTTTATATTGATTGATATACCTGTTGATTTGTGAACTGTGACAGTTAAACTTACATTAACTCTAGAGACTATGAGAGATTTCAAGAGTACCAAAAAAAGACAATGTGCTAATCTTAAGTGGGAATGAATCTGCTAACACAGCCCTTCCTGACTTGGCTGCTACTGGATGTTTGTTTTTGCTTTCTTTGCTCTCACCCTTACAAAGGACCATTCCTAAACTTTCCTCAGGGCCCCTACAGATGTTGTTTCCTAAGCTTTTGCACATTTTACACCCCCAGTTCACAACCTGTGTGTGGTAAACTCCTAGTCAATCTTAACAACTGGAAATTTGAGTTTGGGTTTCATTGGTGCCTTTCATGGCTTCCCGGAGAAATGAGAGTTTCCACCTGGTGTAATTTTTCTTCAGTCTTAAGAACTTGGACGTTGAGGTGAAGATTTGCTGACAACATATTCTCTTGTCTGTCTAAAATTGTTTTTACTTTGCCTTTATCTTTTGAAGTGCATTTTTGCTGGGTAAGAATTCTCAGTTGCTAGTTCTCTCTTTCAGCACTATCAAATTGTCCTTCTGTCGTCATCTGGCTTCCATTGTTTGCTAAGTCGGCCACCACTGCTGTTGCTGTCTCTCTGAGTATCCTTTTCCTGATCAGTTAAGATCTCCATTTTTATTTGATGTTTCTTGGTTTAGTTGTGATGTACCTTACTTCTGGTTTTCTTTGTATTATTATCCTGTTTGGGTTCACTGAGCATCTTTGTTCCATAGATTCCATAGGCTGACATGTTATTTTAAAAATCAATTTTGGCTGATAAAATTTTTTTAGTCAATATCTCTTCAAATGTTTTTCCTTCTCCATTGTCTTTCATATCTCCCTTGGAGCGTTTAATTGCATGTGTATGTCTGATTTTTTGATGTTGTCCCACACATCTTTGATACTCAGT